ATAGAAAGAGAGAGAGAAATAGAGAGAAATGAGAAATCCACATTCGCTTTAATTCGCACAGACACACGCAGACGCTCTCGAGCGTAGTAACAGACGGCGGAGCAAAGAAATATCAAAAGTCAGAAAAGACTTGCGCCTATGGTAGAGATCCCTGAGACTCGGGGTCTCGTAAACTAAATCTTGATCCCATGCCTCCTTAACATTCTGACGGCAGACGGTACGATGTAAACGAAAGAAATATTGATACAAAAAATAAACAGGTTTCATGCAGAAAAATCTGCAAACATAAACATCCAGTTATGTAGACATCAAATACACGAACTCCCAAACTCACGCGTACCATTCGGACGCCACACATCGTTCAAAATAAACATTGGCGAATAATCGTGACATACGTTGATGCGTTTTCACCATTTTCGTCAACAAGGAGGGAGCATTGAAGTTGCGCTATGAAAGAAAATGGCCGATAGGAAGTGAGCGCTAACTTTTGAAGACTCTCTCAGTGTTAATGATGATGATTTGGCAAAATATATCGCTTAATAAAAGAATATTCAAATGCATGGTCGAATTAGAAGACTGTATTGCATATAATGAATATCGGACATGTGATTGTGGAGGGGGGGGGGGGAGGCGTGGCTCAAAGGGTTGTCAACAACTGGGTCTCCACGAGAGCCAGTAAAAGGAGACGTAGTTTTGCACTGCGACACATTACATAACCAACTGCAGCATCCTTGACTTCCCTTTTAGAGTAACAGCCGTCCGATGTACAGACACCGATAAATCAGCACGCAACATAAACATACTTACAATATAAGGACAAGACATTGGTTCGTGTATGCCAGAAGACGCTGGCAAGTAGGCGTCGGTCATGAAGACACTAGAATAGAATTAGCAAAAATCTCGCAGGCACATGATTATGCACAAACAAAAATGAACAGGAAGAAGAAGCTGCCCATGAGCCCATTTGAAATCGATGGTGATGACAAAGAGACGCCGAGACAACAAAATAGCCAGCAATATAGGCAGGCGTGTATAGCGCACTTTAAGGCATAATAGAATCTTAACGAATTCAGCAAAACATACATAAGATTGAAAGGAGAAAAACGGAAATACCGAATTGTTGCTTAAGTTAATGAAGTGTGACGCGCACCACTTAAGCTACCTCTATCGATAAGGTGTGTACACATGCAGAAAGTGCGGATTTTTTTCGTCATTTTCTTTCATTGGTCTGTTAATTTTTTTAAAATAATTACTTTTTTTTTTATCACAGTTGATGTTTATCATGTGTCAGTACTATTTTTGTGTTGCTGCTAAAACGTACATAAATTGGCGTTCCATAAGGCCTTATTATCTCTGAATTAGATGGATTTGCGTATCGATTTCCACTTCCCTAAAACATTTATTACTATTTTATGACACTACCCATTTGAGTAGCGCATGTAATTATTTTAAGATAGTATAATTAATTGTATAATTCTTTATATATTAGAAATATTATTATAAAATATCTACAGTTAATATGATCGCATTACCCGAAACAAAAGCCGCTGATGTGTTTTCAGTGACGATGTGTGATTGCTAGTGAACCTTTCAAACTAAACAGAAAGCGCAACTCGGCCAATAGCAAGACGTCTCGCTCTGGACTCTATGCCCCGCGGCGGTGGCAGGGGCAATTCTACAAGTGACGAGTCTCCCTTTCTCTGATGGAGTAATAGTGCGGTAGTGCGACTATAATTCTATACAAATAACAGAGTAACAATGAGAAAAGAATGATTTAGATAAATATTAGAATAACGATAGTGCTGCAGACGTAGTGGCAAAAAGGTGCGAACATAGAAAAGGCAGTACAATAGATGTAGAAACTGGAGCAATTAGAGAGTGTCTAGCAGTAAAACGAGATGCGCGCTAAAGGCTAAAAGTGGAGAATGCAGCAGAAGGATTATTGGAGATAAACTGAACAATTAAGTCTCAGATAAAAATGAGGGTTATGAATATTTAAGATAAAAGGAATAAAGTAAATGATGCCAATGAGGGCAAACAATGATTATGCGAAAAGGGTTTAGGGGATTGCCTGTGTTGGGGGGAGGGGGGGTGGCGGAGGCGTATTCTTTTTGTATCCTACATCTGCATTACTATGTCGTGTCGTCAAAGGTGGACAAGGAAAAACTAACGGAGAAATAAAAGAAGATGGACAGCGCGAAAAATAGGAGGAAGGAAAGAAGGAGACAGAGAAAGAGATGAAAATCCTAGAAGCAGAATAGAGGGGAAATGCCGGTTGAGCAACGAGGGAAAATGAAAAATAACCAAAATAAAATATATAAAGCTAATAAAACAAAATTTGAGATTGTATTTTGTGTTAAAACTTACCATCTATACAATTTAGATATACGTTGTTCTACACTGTTAGGTATATGGCTAATATTTGTTAATGAACACTGAATTTTTTAGTCGTTTATTGTCACAAGACATTTTTTATGTTGCCCTATTTACACGAGAAGCGTTAGATAGCTGCGAGAATACAAGCAAGTTGGATATTATATTGAAGATCTTATTCAACGTCGCGAATGGCGTAACCGATAAATAAAGTCAAAGAAGGACACATGGAGATTCAAACTTCTAACTAACTAGCATATCTACGCACATTTATTGAAGTCAAATAAATAGTTTTAGTTAAACGTAGTTACTTAAAAAAAAAAAGCCAGAAAAGTAAGACAAAGGGTAAACAAATATCTAGCTTTCGAATCGAACACCAACGTGAATATTTTGTATTTAGGAGCGTGTCGGGAGGCGCGTTTAATATTGTTTAGGACGGCCTTTACATCAGTATAAATGTCTTTTGAATCGGTGTCTATTTCAACTACCACTTTTACGCTGAAGAATGAAAGAATGATTTTAGGACGATTAAAGTAAAGAAGGCAACTTTTAAATGAAAGAAAAGCTTAAGACTATAAAGCATTGGTGTTCACAGCGACGAAGAGACTGTTAAGCTTTGAAGCTGCTGTACAGCAAGACTAATCGCAATCAATTTTCATCTTTGCGAATAAATAGTAGAGTCTGGTTACGGAGGTCTTAATTGTTAAAGAGTTCTCGATGAATAACTTATTACCAAACTATCAATAACACCCAAGCAACGAATGCATTCGATCGTTTGTCTAGGAAAATAATACACACTTTCATAGTTTATTATTTCAGACGCACTCTGTCTTGTAGTAACCATACAACTAAACTAATTTGTGCAGCTAAGCTAAATTATACAACGCCAATATAGATTTATATATTATACGAGTTGTCTTTTGGTGTCGCTGTTGTCGACCATACATATATATGTCATTTCATTTGAATCCCCCCTATCTCCAGTTCGAAATGAAAAACGCAGGCCATAACTATTACATTATCCTTAGGGGCATGTGGAAGAATTATTTGTTACAACTCCGTTGATTTATTAACTAGTTTTTCACTTCTTTGTTGTGTGTTGTGTTGCAATTATTTTTTGCTGACCTTCTTCGCATGGACTCCAAAGTTCTTCTTTCGAAAGTTCTTGCAAGGTTGTTTTTAACAAAGTAGCACTTCATACTCGATCTCCATTCAGAAATCATAGGCATCCACTGCACACAGCTTTCACTGCGTGCGTTTTGAGACATACACAAACCCAAACTACATTGTATGTGCACATTTCTATGCATATTTTATGTATATAATATCGATAGAAGAATTGCTTTTTGTTGTATTATCGTACGATGGCTAAACTTCCGTTCCTTGTATGCGTTCTGTAAGGAACTTTGTCGGATAACTAGTACGAAGCTTGTTTTCAAAAACAGGTGATTCTTTTTAGATCATTTTGCATTGATAGCGCTGAACGGAAGATAATTTACGCGGGTTGGATGCACACCCAAGACCAGCGAATCGGAGTTCATTATTCTTTGACGAACACGCTTTATTCTCCTACATATGAGCGTCTTTTAAGAAATCGCAGTCAATTAGAAAAATACAGTGATGGACGCATGAGCTCGGTGACGGGAGCACAGCACGCACCGCAGCGCCATAGTTACCACAGATAAGAGAAGATGCGCTCATAAAACGAGTGTATCTTCGCTTTTGGTCAGTGTCTTTGTTCGTGTGAACGTCCATTGGATCAGAGAAAAAAAATACGACATGCTACCACCATATTCAAGTAGTAATTACATTGCTAAAGATAAATATTGGTGGCTCTTACTGCTTCGGTTGGTAAAAGTTCTCTCATGTATGTTTTTATCTCTATATTTTGTATGTAACATGTACAATACGCCTTCTCGTTGTTTCGACGTAGATGTCACGTTTACTTCGCGTTGAACAAAGCGCAACGTGTGCTCAATGGAGAAACTTGTTGTTCTTGATGCTGTTATTATTAATATTACTGTTATTATTTAATCTACGGGTGCTCGTAGACTTCTATGATTGCTTCTCCGCCCTGGCCTCGACAGTTACCCAGCTGACTGTGTACCATTACGTTCATGCTGCTTCCGTATTTTTGAGGCAGTATAATATAGTGGTCAGTAAACGACGGCGCACTTTTCTTCGCTTTTTGTTGTCTTTTTTTTTTTGGTCTCTTTTCTATAACTAGCTCTTACCAAAGTTTTACGCATACGATTTTGTGATGCCGAATATTTGATATCTTGGTTCTATCAATAACCGGAAGCTCTGCTAAGAGTTCGCACATTGTTTTCTTCCTCGTTGGTGATCGTGTATCAAGGTCCCAGTGTTGTTATTTTAATTATTTCTGAAACGATTATTAGGCATTCATGCAGAAAAAAGTATTTATTCATACAGCGTCTCATACGCAACCAATAACCTTTTATCTTTTTGTGTGATCTGTCTATATATATATATATATATATATATATATAATATGCTGACCGATCCCGTATTAGAGAAAACGATGCTTAACATTTAATTAATATCCATCTGCGCTATTTACATGGTAATAATGCAGTAACAGTATAGCCCATATTCCAGATAAATAAGGCTAAAAAGACGTTCTTGATAATTTAGGATCGGAATGGGAGGTAAGATCCCAATGTTATAACAACAGTCTACTATCACCACGTGTATAGCCGTCAGTTTTGAGACTAAGACGTCAATGTTAGCTCCGTAGTAATAATCGTACATAATTAGCACTATAGAGTAAAAATGACAATAATAAAGCTCCGCAGTCGCTTTCGGGATGAAATCAACAAACTGGTGGTACCTGTCAGTGTTGCATATATAATTGAGCAAACTGTACAGGGCGAAGCCGGTTGTAACCGAAACAATGATCTTGTTAAAGAGCACGTAAGTTCGCGTATTAGCTAATCTCCATATGTCAATTGCGCTAACGTTCCTCGTATATACGTATGTACATTTTTAGATTCATAATTTGGCTTTCGTCTCTTCTTCATCGGGTTCAGGCATTCAACTCTGTCTGCAATTGAAGAAACGGCTCAAGGAAGTTGCTTCTGGTGTAACAATTTTTTCTTTGCTATGTCCTCTTTTTGAGTGGACGGCGACTTTAAACAATAGCGTTATGCTGCTAAACGGCTGTTGTTAGAGCAGCTCGAATTCGTCGTCAGAGGTATCATACCGACGGTTGGCGTTGGGGTCATCACTAGCCGAGTGTGCGGCGCGTCCCGAGCTGGACCCCGCTGTGTTAATGTTCGATGCGTCCAGCCCGCCGGTAGCAGATTCCGGCTCGCAACAAGGCCAGCTCGGCGGGATCTCCGTGATCTCAAATAACATATGATTCGAAGAGTCGATGAGGTGCGCCCTGGCTTCGCTGCACCACTCGTTTAAATCCGCCTCGTTTTCTATGTAGTACGACTTCGGGTCGGATAGATTGATGAAGGCCAAACGGAAAGCGGGGTGGAAGCACAAGGAATGGGTGCAAATAAGGAAAACATCCTTAGAAAAATCTTTTCTCATTATTTTCCAGCTTTGTATAGTTATTAAGGAAAGGGGTTTTTGGGGCCCCAGAGAAATTAATTTAGCAAAAAATTCCGATTATGAATTGTTAGTGGCTTTTCAATGACGCTTGTAACTGGTCTTCAGTCCATGAAAAACACGAAAGAAAGAGGAAAACGATACTTCCCTCAAGACATCTTTGGGAGGAAAATCTATTGTGACGAATGCGGTTCTCTTTCACGTAGGTTTTTCAGGAGGGAGGATAACATCAAGAGAACAATGCGGGATTGCCATACTGCATTATATCATCATCGTGTTGTTCACTTACATTTACAGTAAACTGTTCCGAAATCCAAACTTCCCTTCGCTGACGCATACACTTCTATGTGCTTATGGTGCTCATTTTAAACGATAATCAAACTTTCAAAAGACGTTTACAAAGAAACCGATCAGATCTTAGCTCTTTAAAACGTCAGAGCTCACCAATACGAGCCGCCGGCTAACTGAACTTTCAAGTTTTTTTTTAAAAACTCAGAGAAAACCAAGATTCTTCAGGTCTAGAACCTACCAGTGCGATGGACGGGTCAATTGCATTGATAGGCATCCGCTGTGCGTTCCAACAGTGATACGATGAATCATCGATAGGCTCTTGATCCAAATCAACGAAGTTCTGTGTCGTGTGCGGGTCGAGAAAGACGAGTTGGTTAGCTTGTACTCCAACGAAATACAGAGCATGGCTCGGCCGACCTCCAAGCATACCCAGAGATCCTCGAATTTGCAGTGCTTTACCCAGTGCCCCGATGTAGATTTCATTCATATCGGCAAGACCAAGCCGAAGCGGGATTACCAACACCAACGGCTTCCAGGGGCTGTCGTTTGTTGCTTGACATAGACTTCCTGTCATACCGTAGCGTTTAAATAGTAGAAGAGTTTCGATCTTACGAATATCGTAAAGAAAACCAACTGACCAACTACGTGAACAAGATGACTGAAAATATCACCAAAATAGGATTACCTAACTGTAGTTTTATTTTTCGTTCATTTATGTCTGTTGAACGAAACGAGCACTAGTGCTCCAATGCCCCTAAATCTCAATAGAGCTAATGATTACTCTATAACGTATAGGGAAACTTACGAATCTCACTGAGCACAAGCATATGGTCCATCGCTACATGCATGCGCAAATCGCTCCATGTGTCGTACTGCACGAGACGCTTGAGTGCCTGGGCTACGGTGTTCGGCCCAAACCATTCACCAACTGGCTTGCCGTCGCTTTGTCCCATTAGCGCAATCTGGTGAATAGAGAACGTCGCGGATTTTTTGTCTTGAAAGAGGCGAAGTAACCGCAGATAATCGTCTCGTTGGGTAATTTCAGAAGGGTCTGTACTCCATTGCCAGTCTGCGCAGAAGAACAAAAAGTTTGTCAGACATTTGCATGTACGTGCAAATAGACGGAATTCTATTCTACTACTAAACATTCATCAAATTTGAAAATAGAAACAGTCGTAGAAAATTCAAAACGTTTATTTAACCCGATGAAATGGCTTTTTTTCAAAAGCTCACTTTTTTGATCGTGTGGTAAATACTAGCCTTACCGCGTCCTAGATGTCTTCGGACGAGGGCGTTTGCAAGCATCATTTGCCCAGCGCGCAGCATACATCCCCAGCCCGTGTCAGTAGTGCGTCCGCCTTCGCCGTCGATAGCGGCGAATCCTTTTCTATAGGTGAGCCATAGCAGTGAACGAAACGCTTGGCGAACTGCCTCAACCCCATCTGCAAACCGCGTATCGTCAACGACACCGGAAAATTTTTAATTTTTTTTCCTGTATACAAAGTTTGCACGATGCTTTGCGATGCTTTCAACTCAAAAATGCCAAAAACACATTTACCTAAAACAGTACAGTTAAGTGTTTATAGTGATATAAAAATCTATCTATTTACAACAGTCTGCTCTTCAGCTGGACATAAAAAGATTTTTAAGAAGCAGATTTGAGGATAAAGGCTCAAATAAGTAAGGATTACTTTGAATACAGCATATATTGAAACAGGGAATTGCCACCATAAGTCCAACGTAATTACATGCTTTCATGTGGCTCACGCACAGCATTTAAATAAAGAACTAAGTCGATCTAGAATTTGCATAAGATTTCACACTTTTCAAGCTAGAGTTGGTAGACAGATCGTTGTTCATTGAATTTGTTGAAATATCAGTCATTAGGAGATGTGCATCCATCTGTGGTCTTATCAAAGTTTCAATTGGGTTTGCCTTGCGGTATCGGTATCGTTGAAGCTAAGCAATCTATCGCATTGGCAGTAATAGCTTTCAGTGCAACATACCGTGGAATCGGAGCTGAGTCACTTACTAGGATAGGTGCAGGATTCCTCGTTTGTTAATATGAAATAGTTTAATGTATTTAATGCTTAAGGCAAAAAATCGATTTCTTAAATACGTTCCCCAATAGTCACTAATATCTTTAATTTTCTTTCAAATAAGTCAATTTCGTATGAAAATTGCTTTTAGTCGTTTGGCTTAACTATATCGGAGAACGCAAACAAACGAAGCCTGATTTTGCTGGTAGAGGTGCGACAAGATAAAATACCGCTCACTGGACTCACCTGAGTCAGATTATAAATTTTACCGAAAATAAAAATGGTTCACGGTAACGTCTTTTTTGCCAACAAATTGTTTTTCCGCAATCTAATGATAGAAAACCTAATCTAACCACTATTATCAAATTGTCACCAAAAACGTTACATCATACCGAATGTGTTTATTATTCGATCAACGTACCCTCTTTCACGATGTACTTTGTTCCGAGAAGCCAAACGGGATCATCCGCTTCGGGGAACTCGGCGTAACCCAAATAACCGGGTTCATACGTGAGCAAACCTATAAATACAACCACAACACGTTGAACACGCGCGAAATCATCAGCAAAGTGACTACAATTTACAGCTCACCAATAGACACGATCATATCATGCGCACTATCATTCGAGTAACTTTCGTATTGAAATAACGGTAAAACACAACTTTTCTGATAGGGATTGCATATAAATTTTACTTCGTGGGAATCGTCAATTATCAAAGCATTGATCGATGCATGCACAAACAACACTATCAACATATTTAATAATGTTAATTAACATAATAAAGTGATTTAAGATTTTTGTTATTTGTCTTGAGCCAGAGCATTTGTCGCTTATGGCAGATGTTGCGTGGCTAACTAAACCGTATAGGTTTGGCAACCTCGAAATGGTATTAATGATGTTAGAATCAGGTGAAGCAGCAACAAAAAAAAGAATTACTAGAGAAATCGACGAACACTGAGTGTGAATGCTGTTACATATATGCCTTGAAGCGAGGGCCACGCGAGCAGCCACAGATTAAACCTGCGTAAAGGTCTTTTAATCTTTCTCTCTCTCTGTGTTGCGAATGTTTTTTTCTCATTGATTGGCAACGTGCTGTACAAGCATGTACAAAGCCCATCTGAAAAGAACTCGCCGGGCATGTTCGACTATGTGCGGCGCATTCATCAAAGGCATTACTATTTGTTAGAATACGCATGATCAGATTCTGTTAACCTAAGAAGGCGAGTGAAATCACTAAGCAAACAGCCAAGAAATAGATACGACTGGATGTGTGCCCCTCTATAATTAGCTGGATGATTAAGACCAGTCCAATTCGTTACTACCATAGCGGAAAAAAACTGGGCATTCCCTTGATGGTATACGAATACAAACTAAAGATCATCCGTTTTAGCAAAAAGAAATGAGGCGATTGTGTCTACTCCCCTAAAACTGATTATAAGTGGCTCCGCATAAATAATGGTACAATCTAAAAATTTTTAATTACGATATTTTAGCACAGGTTCACCACTTTCAATGTGTCTATTTCTCATATCATGCGGTGTTACATGGCACTCCGGTACCTGCAATTCGCACTGGTTTACGAGAACGTGTGCTGGCAGCAACAACTTAACGTTAGCGTCGCGTCACGACACCTCATCGCCTACTCAGACTTTTTGCTTCTTTTTAGGGCTATTCAAAAAAACTTCCGGCACCAGGTTGTCAACTGTCGGCAATCCCGCTCCTAACAATCATAACTTTGCACAATAAGCTTTTTTCAAGTACACAGACAGGAAATGCATATGTGACAAGTGTTAACTTCTCGCTAGCAACCAGCAACAATGAGAGTTATTTAAAGTCGTCTTTGATTACCAGCTTCTACTTATTGATAGTTTCGCAAGAGCTTTTTTTCTCAAGAAATTGTTTCTAATTATTCTTGACGCAACCTTTGCATTCAGCGAAATCTTAGCCACCCGTTTATCATTACCAAGAAGCGTCAAACAGCATTTACGCCTCAGCTCCGATAAACTTAGCCTACTGGCAGTAATCAGAAGCACATTCAGTAGTTTTTGTGCGATTAGCGGTTCAAAGTGCGTATGCTACACAAAATAAATACTGACATGTGTGAATAAAGAAATATATTTACCAGCTCATTTAAAAAAAATATCCCTCTGTGTCAAATGGCGGCGGTAGGTCATCGAAACTCGACGAAACCAGTCTCCGTTACACTTGGCCTCGTCTCTCGCTTTCTATTTTTCCTTCTATTTCCTGTTTTTGCTTTCTATTGTTTATATATCATCGCACACTCCATCTGGCATTTAATAGAGGTCGGTTTTAGGATATTCTCGATTACGATGTAACGCGCTTTCAGTTCTCGCTTCAAAATGATAATATTAGTAATACGATTAGATCATACCACGTTTATCAGCTAAGTGATAGTAACCATGAACACAATGACATTTTTATTGCTAATAAATCCAACCAATCCTCAACATCGTTCTTATAATGTTTACTACTTTTTGTGTTACTATTACGACGATTTTCAAATCAATCAGCTGCAGATACGGTTAAATTTGACATGCAGTACGGCACGGTCTAACAGGTAACAAATGATTCGAATAGTGGAATATTTCAAGAAAAGCATTTCGTTACCTTTTTTGCGAGATGCTTTAGAATCGTGCTATCTATCTAAATCAAACCAATGGTAGAGCATATGTTTCACACAATCCAACCATATGATCTCTCTAGATGATATGCAACACGCCGATAAATGGAGGACCGATAGTATATACATAAAAGTGTTTGGGAGCTTGGAAAACTATGTTCGATTTGCGAACGAAACTTATTGCCGTAGTAGTTCTTGCTACAGAATCTCATTCGTTGAGACAAATAAGAAGAACGTTTCTGGCAATCTGGTTTACACCACCAGCCATTGGTCGCACCAGGACACCTGGTACCTGCTGCTGACTTGTTATCCACAGCAGTGCGATCTTGATTTACTGCCATTATAGACCTGCACGGCAGCTGGTGTTCGATGTTGTATCACTTGCAGGGTAAGCAAACTAGGAAAGTTCGGCTTGAATGATGTGCAGTTTAGCCTTCTTTGGGCTCGACGAAATTTAGCTGGGTATGCATAACACATTCAAAAATAACACCTGAATTTCTTACTTGTGTAAAGCTCAGCCATTTTTCGTAGAAGGGGTGAATGGGATTCGTTGCCGTTGTGGTTCATTGAATGTTGTGTTCCGCAAGTTAATCACTAGACACGAGCTGTTCCGTGGACGTGTCCCATATTAATCGCGCACCTAAATAATGACAAATAATCATATGTATTGGCCCAACAAAGAGAAAAGTGGATGATGGCGCGAGTGTACACCGGCGAAGTCATATGTCTTAGCTTAATGATTATTTCGTCTGAACTCGTAGAATTCACTAAAAGTATAATGTATTTGATCACTTTTACCTTACAATA